ACAGATGCCTTATTTCTTAATTAGCGGGTAATAAGTACAACTTAAAATTTTTATTGGAAAATTTCAAACATAAATAAATAAAAAGGAATAGTTTGATTAAAAAATAGTCAAAGTAACAAACTCTGATATAAAGATATAAATGATATAAGATTGCTAAGTGGTTAAGAGCATTGGCTTCTCTTGCAGAGAACCTAGGTTTGGCTTCAGCATGTACATAGCAGCTAACAACCACCTATAACTCCATTTCCAGGGGATATGACACCCTCTTCTGACCTCTGAGGGCATTGCACAACATGGATGCATTTACACACATGCAGGTAATACACTCATATATATACATAATTTTAAACAAAGAAAGAAAAGAAGGAGTGGCTATGTACCAGTAGCTCCAAGTACTTGGGAGCCTTAGGCTGGAGGGTTACTTGGGCCTGGAGATAGAGATCAACTTGGACAATATAGGAGACACCATCTTTTAAAATAATGGTGAATTATCGGTTCTACCCACCTATCTCCATTCCCAGTCCTCAGGGAGTGTTTTAAATGTTTTCAGGTATTTTTTCTGGAGACTAATATCCAGATGAGTCAAAGTTTTCAAAAAATTGGTTTGTGAACCATTAGTAATATTTGAAGTGACTTTGGATAAGATTGAATGAATACATTTAAATTTTTCATAACTACCACTTAGGCTGAAATACATTAGAGGAAATAAAGTAGAACATCAATAAACTCACAAACATATTGCTAAGGATGAAGCTAAAATAAATACCTACAAAAATAAATTTGTAAGAAAAATCCTAAAGTAGAAAAGAAAAACTCCAGTGATACATGGATAGAGCAAAATTTGTAAAAGGGGCACAAAAATGTCAGAACTCTGAGAGGCTCTTTTCTAAACGTTGTATATATTTTGCTATTTCTTTTCATAATAAAATATTTATTTCCGTAGATTAATGCTTTGGAGTGTTTACACAGGAAGTCAAGTTGATATATTCAGATATGCCTTCTGATACAGAATAAGTGTGGGTTTTAGAAACAAATATTATGCTCTACAAAATGAACTAAGAAAATGGAATGCTAGAGGTATAGATGGAGGCAAGACCAGAAGCACAGCAGTGGGAAGATGCCAGACTTACTGGTATCGACTGAGAGAAAACATGAGATGACCTTACTACAAAATTGGATACAACCAAGATAAATTACAGATGGTCCAGTAAAAAGAGAATATAAAAAGTGTGATATTCTTGTTGATGAGCTGTGTATCCTGGATAGAGTCCAGCAGGATATAAGAAAGTCAAGACAGAAACTGGATAATTCTGTATTATCTGGGACTTTCCCAAAAGCTCCAAGATGTCTAAATATCCATGATGATATAATACAGGCCCTGTTTAATGCTTAAATTATCAGAATAGTTTAAATGTTATTTCCTTGCATGATATAAGATTTCTATGAGAGAGAGAGAGAGAGAGAGAGAGAGACAGCGAGACAGAGAGACAGAGAGAACTATTTTCTTTACATCTGTTCATCTATACCTAGTTTCACCATAAGCCCAAGAGTACTGGAATCATTGGGGAGATAGTCAAAAAGGGAGGTAGGTTGAGGAGAGATAAATAATGGAGCAAGAGTGGGAACTTTCCTTTCGAGGTTTGGATGCATTGTGAATGGGAAAGGGTGAGAGCACAAAACGTGCGCTGACTATGACTTCCTTTGTAAGACCTGAGATAGTTCCTCCTTCCAGAATAAAGGATCTCTCCACATAGACTTTTTGTCCATTAGTCAAATACTTTCAGGAAGGTCCTCCACAGTCTTTCCACAGTGGGAGAACTAACAACTTCAAACTGGGTTTGAAGGCTACCTCCTTACAGTCAATTGAAGAAAAAACAGTACCTTCACCCCTAACAAGGTCTGATCTTGGCTAAGCAATTCCTCCTGCTTCATCTGGATGACCACACTTCTTAAAGTGCTTGGAATTTAATGGTCTCTCTCTTTGTTGCCCTGTAGATTCTGCTGTGTAGCGTGTATCACCTCCCAGAATAAGCCAACTCCTGAGGCACATTGTGAGCTCACAGTATGAAAAGGTATAGTAAAGCCATCTCCTGAGGTCTTCCTCCTCCACTGTGTGCACACAGGATTCCTTTTCATTTCTACACATAAAGTAACACTACTTAATGTGGGACACATCAGAATTTTTCTCACCTCATTAAGTGGACTTGGTGTCTACTGTTTTCTGAATTGATATACAGCCTACATTCTAACAAGCAACGTACAGTGGTTTAAGATTCTCCATAGCTCTCCCATACTTGTATACTGTCTTTACCTTTATGAGTACAGCCATGCTAAATATAGTTTTGATTCACATCTCATTAATGACTAAATGATGCTGAACATCTTTTATTTTCTTACTGGTCATTTTTAGATCTTCTTTGGGAAACTCTCTATTGTGCATTTTTAAATTGGGTCATTTTTCTTTATACTATTGTGTTCTAAGAATTCTTTGTCTGTTCTGGATCCTCGTGATCACACACTTTACAAACATTTTCATCTTGAGGTTGGCTTTTGATTTTCTTGGTAATAGCCACTTAAAAGTAAGAATATTTTTTAACTTTGATTAAGTCTAATTTGTCTATTTTTCTTTGGTTGTTTGTGCCCCAGGAGTTATATCTAGGAAACCACTGCTTAATCTAAGTTCTCAAAGACTGAATTTATTTTTAGTTAATCATATATTTATGGTTTTGTTCTAGGCTTAGCATATATAAATATGTAGAGAGGCACAAGTCAAAATTCTTTCTTTGTAACATGGGTACCCAGTTGTACCAGCAGCACTTGGTCAATGATCATAAAGACTAATTTTTGGCAGTCTTATAAAAAACAAATCAATTACCCAAAGAAAAGTGGGTTTCTCTCTAGACCTTTCTCATTAGTGGTTACCTATGTTTTGATTTGTTCAGTGACTTGTCTAATGCATACCTTTCTTCTCATCACACTGGGAAGAAATAGACCACATGCTCATTTGTGAACTAAACATTGACGAGGGGACAGATTACCAAGTAATGGGATAGGGGCCTGCTACCAGGAGCCCCCTGGTCTATGTTGGGAGGGCTGAATGCTCAGGATGGTTAGGAAGAATGAAGGTGGCTATGGATATTACGAATTATAAACTGAATTTTTCCCATCAACATTTAATAGTATATTTTGATACCTATTTTTATAAGTAGATCTTGACATCTGTCATTTCTTGCGTATATCCTAATCACTTCATCTTTTCAACTTTATTATTATTATTATTTTATGTGTATGAGTATATTGCCTGCATGTATGTGAGTGCATCCGTGTCGTGCAATGCCACGGAGGTCAGAAGAGGGCTTTGGATTCCCCTGGAACTAGAGTTAAGGACAGTTCGCAGCCGCCATGTGGGTGCTGGAATTGAACCCAGGTCCTCTGCAAGGGCAGTCACTGCTTTTAACTGCTGAGGCATCTCTCCAGCCCCATCTTCTTTTCAACTTTTATTAGTGTTAGGAAGTATACTGAGATCACATCTAACACTGTTAAATAATTTAAACAAGATCATGTAACTGGTGAAATGTTATAGTATCAGATTATTATTTTACTAAAGAGTACTCTATGGAACAAATCTGAAATGAATCCCATTATATTTTTATCCATTGAGTTAACAGAAGTATGTTACAAGGGACCCCTTATTTGACACACAAATATCTTGAGTTCCCATGATGATAGCTTTCTGATTCCAACTTTTGGCAATAAATGTCCCCTGGTTTGCATACAACTGGAGTGGTGACACTACGTAACTGAGAGGATTAATTTATTCTGAAAATAATGTCCAAAGCTCAGTAAAGTGACTTGTAACAGAAGAATCTAAGGCTTAGAGGAAGGAAAATAAATGTTACAATAGCAACCGTAAAACATATAGGCATAAAATTAACATAAAATGTGCAGAGCCATTATAAAAGGAATTACACAACTTTGAGAAGTAATATACTACAATAATCACTATTATAAAAATATCCATTAAATGCCACTTATACTCAAACTATCCTTAATTCATTAAAGTATGAATACTAAAATAAATGTAAGTGAAGTAATGGTCCAGAACAAGGTAGAAAGATGAATGGGAAGAACAGCTGCCTAGAAATACACATTTTAGGAGTCATCATTATGGCTTTTTAAAGGAAGATAGTTCAGTTGATATAGAAAGAATGGCTGTTTCAGAAAATGTTGTTGGGTCATATGCCTAAGGAATGAGAAACCATACTTATGTAGACAAAGTGTAGACAAAGTACCTGAGGAAATGGGCTGGAGCTAAATGTGGGGAAAGGAAGAACGAAATGCATCTTAAAAGTAAACACAGTAAAGGGAATGCTTTTAAGATTCTGTAGTGGATAAAGTCTTTTAAATTAGAAATAATAAAGGCAACGGGGCTACAGAAAAATAAAGAAGCTTGGCACAGCCATAAAACACCATAAATAAAATTAAAGTTCAAAAGACAAAAAGGAAGATTATTTTCCATCTATACGAAAGATGACAATGTCATTTCACAATGTCAAAAGATTGGACACTCCTGTTTGGAGATTTGGAGTTTTGGTCAAAGGTTTAATAACTGTCCTCAGCTTTACAGATTTATATTCTGACTGTAAAGGAATTAATGAGGACCACAGCAGAACCAGTAGCAGAAGGCTGGTAAGAGGAATGAAAAGTCAAGAGTGCTGCTTCAAATGGAATTTCCTTGACACTGGAGGTATTTGTGGTACCTGAATAGCAGTTGGTTAGGATGCTTTAAAAAGGGGGTTAGTAATGATGATCTACTATCACTCTTGATTCTATCATAGTTCTATCAGTTAGGTAAATACTGCTTTATAAACCTGGAGCAACAAATCATGTTGCAGAGGATTTCTACTAATTTCACGATAACTTATTATGCCACCATTAGAGTTAGAACAAAGGGATTATTAGAAACATTGGATGATTATGGTAACAAAAAGGGCACCTACCTGTCTGGAAAAAGACTCTAGAAATAATTGTCCGACACAGAGGGCAGGGGGTGCTTGCAGGATTGTCTTTGGCCAGAGTCCGTAAACAGGGCTCACAGAAGATGTGGTGGCAAGGGTAACACATGTAGGGGTTGAAATAGACATCCAGACACACTGCGCAGATGTAGCTGTCCTTTTCTTCTGTGTATTCATTGTCATCATCTGTACTCATCTCATTATTCAAAGTCTACAAAACAAAAGAACATTCTTCTTAGTTTAGTAGAAGATTGGCTTCTCTGAGAGAGACTGCATTTGTATTTTGTTAAATGAAATTATTTATAAGAAGCACATTCTATCTGTTTCTGTAACATATCCCAAGTGACAGAAATGCTGCCTTTCAAAGTGAGAAGAAAATGAAAATAAACATGAGAATCCCAGAAGTCTAAATAATTCTCTAATATTTATATATAATACTAAATGATAAACTATACCTATACATAATTAAGTATACCTGAGGCTTTAACCAGCACTAGTAAAGTGTTACCTATACTAGCATCAGGATTACATATCTCCTCATCCCGCAGCGAAAAAGGTGATTGTCACCAGGTTACAGTGGCTTTATATGGGCATCTTATGATGAGAAGCAAGGGCTCACTCCATCCTCATCCTGTACCCAGAGCACTTCCTATTCTGTACTTTGCACCTTTCTGTACCCAAAGCCAAGAAAGTGCCAAAGTTGTCAGAGTACTGCCAGGAGACTTGGTAAAGGAATGTGGAGTAATTATGGAATTAGTCTATCAGCTAGGAAATATGTTGAACCCCTTCCCAAATATAACAGTTTGGGAGAGGCAGCTCAGAGATTAGTAGCACAGATATAGGAACAGATTTCTTTTTACTTAACCTCACAGTTCCCAAATCTGTGCAGCTGTGAGGATTAAATGAGGTTATCTACTTAAAACATTTAGTTCAATACCTGGTATTAATGTATATTTAATAAACATTAAACATGGCCACTCTCTTCCTCATCTGCTCCATGCCACCTCCCCTTTCCCCACAGGGGCTCCGCAGTTTCTGCTAAACCCTTGAGAATATTTTTCTCAAGCTAGGACTGGCCTCAGCTCAGTGAGGTGCAATCGAAGTCTGTTGGGTTTATCTTTTTCCTCCTCACTTTCATGAGCTCAATGATGACTATTTGAATGGACTTTGCGTTTAAGAAATATCTGTAAGTTATTATGACATTTAAAGGTATGTGAAGGAGCAAAATAACCTTAAATACAACACACAACAAAACAGACAAAAACCAACAACCAGCCCTTTTGATAGGATTTGAATTTTTATCTCCTCTAAACTTCACGTTGAACCTGATTCCCTAGTGCAGTGTATTAAAAGTGAGGCACAGGAGGTGATTCCCAGCCTCTTCAAGGACTGAGGAGCAGCACTCATCCCACTCACTCTTCTACTCTTCTGTGGATGAAGACCCAGCATATCCCCTTTGAGAGAGAAATCAAGGCACCACAGTTGGAACAGACTGGGCCTTCACCTCACACTGACCTTCCTAGGATCTTTCACGTGGGCTTTCCTGCCTACAAAAATGTGAGAAGTAAATTTCTGTTTTATAAATCCCCCAGTGTATGCTATTTGTGTTACCGCACCAAGTACCTTGACCCATTTGTGCTGGAATAACACAATGGGATAAATGACTCTCTGACTTATCCAAGTTGATTTACTTTGCCATGGCCATGCGTCTTTTATGAAGGGTTCAGTGAAGTCTTCAGCCAATTGATTTTTAATTAGATTGTCTATTTTTCTTATGGCATGAAGGCATTTTTATCTAGCTATTTGTTATACAAAATATATTTGTTTGACTAAAAGTGTTGCAAATATTCTTTTTCTTCCCTCTGTTTCACTTTCTCTCTCTTTTCCTAGTGTCATCCTTTGATAAAATATGTTCTTAATTTTAAAGTATCTTATTTAATCACATTTTTCTATCACAGTTTTTTCATTTTGTATGTATTTAAAAACTCTTGTTCTTTCTCAGAGTCATTAAGATAGCATTATTTTGCACTTCTCACTATTTCAATCACAGAATATACCTGAAATTGATTCTCATGCCTGGTGTGTCTTATAGACAAATTTCATTTTCTTGTTTAGACAGTTATTAACTGGCCTAGCGTACTTATTGCAAAGACTTTCCTTTACTGCAGTGCTCTGAAGTGTTACTTTGTCAATGACAAAAGACCATTTATGTGGGTCTGTTCAGTGTCTTAGTCATTCCTGATCTTTCCCAAGACAGTGTAAAATTTAGAATTACTTTATCATGTTCGATTTTATTTTACCTTATGTATATGAATGTTTTGCCTGCATGTATGTAAGTGCATCACTTGCATGTAGTGCCTGTATAGGCCAGAAGAGGGTGTTGAGCCCCTGGAACTGGAGTTATATATAGATGGTTGTGAGTGGCCATGTGGGTGCTGAGAATCAAACCAGTGTCCTTTGAAAGAGCAAGAAGTGCTTTTAATCACACTGAGCTGTCTATTCAGCCTCATGTTTTGAAGGTAAAATTTTTACTTTAATTATTTTGAGCCTACAGATAAAATGAGGAAGTGTTAGAAGAAGGCTTTATAATACAAAGCTTTTAAAATACATGAGCCTGGTTAATTTCCCCATTTACTACACAAATATTTAAAAAATTATCTCGATACAAATCTATTTTTATTTGAGCCAATACCCTGTCTTTTTTTTCAATTTCTATTTTTGTTGAATTTTTGTGCATTTTATACAATACATCTTAATCATAGCCCTGCCTTCCCTATCTGTCCCCATACCACCCCCATAGCCCATCCATAGGACTTCATGAATTCTGTTGTATATGTTTAGGTCTATTGAGTCAAGTTTGTGTACCCAGATGTCCCTTGGTGTGAGTTCATCCACTGGAACTTGGTCGGTTTGTCTACTTTTAAAAAAATATTTTATTTTTTTGAAAATTTTAAACATGAATACTATATTCATATCATTTCCATGCCTCCCTCTCCCTACCCCAACTCCCCTCTACTCTCTTTCAAATTTATGACCTCATCTTTATTATTCTTACACACACAAACACACATGTATATACACAAACACACGCAACCTACTGAGTCCATTTAGTGTTGCTCATATGTACATATGCTTAGGGCTGAGCACTTGGGATTGGATAACCTATCATGGAGCTCACCTCCAGAGAAAATGGATTCTCTTTCTCTCTGTAGCCACTGATTGCCTGTAGCTTTTCAGCTTGTCTCTACTTTTACTGCTTACTCCCTCTTCTTACCTAGCCCCTTCCTACTAGAATACATGACATGTGTGTTCTAATATCTTTCACACCCAAACAGGTAAAGAAAAAATGGCTCAAGCTCATGCTGTATATCTCTTCTCTCTTCCAACAACAAAACTTCCTAGGAGACTTACTATGTGTGATTTCTGCTTTACTTTCTGCTCACTTTAACCTGCCTTCTATTTTCTTTTTTTTCCAAGTAGAAAAAGAATCAAAGATAAGAAATTTTATTTTGTTAAGTGAATATCCATTGTTTACAAGTGGCGTATTGTCAAGATAGTACTCCAAAATGCACCCAAATTATGAATTGTCAAAAATATACAATTTTAAATAATTTCATTAATATAAATAATGTTAAACAATTTGGAGAATGTAGGCTGCAGACTTCTCTCTGAATCAAGGAATCCCCTTACCATGCAAGAGAGTATAGCTAGCTCTTGCCAAGCTCTTACAGAGTATAAAGAAACTGCCACCTGGGAAAAGAATCACTGCAATAGTTATCTTTATTGTTAAAACATCAAATAAACATCAAGCACTTATGATTTATGTCCTTAAAAACATAGAATGGAATTTAGGAATACAAAATTTAATTCATGGATTTCTTAGTTTCATATGCCCACCTTACTCAACTTTCCCTCTGTTTTGAATGTTTCACTGTGTCTGTCAGATGGATGACCTCAACATTTATCTTCAGAAGTGTGAAAATTAATTTCAGATAACTCTAGGCCATCAAATACCTCAAAAGCATTAAAGAAGCCAGCCCAGAGTTAACTGTGGAAAGGAGGAGAAATGTTAAAAGATTTGAATCCTTCTGAAATGCTGTATGTCAAGATCTTTATTTTGAATATTCAGAAGTTTTCTTTTCTTTTTTTAAAAAATATTTTTATTGCACTTTTGTAATTTCATACAACAGTTCTTAATCAAGGGTGAGAGAGGGTTAATGCACCCCTCAACTCTCACCAGTGAGGCTTCCATGTACATCAGAGTGTGATCTACACAGGTGGCCACAACTGGCTAAGTTTTGGAGAATAAGAGACTGTAGAATGTAGGATGGGATTCCTATATGGAACCTCATCCACCCACAGCTCAGGGACCATTGCAGAAAAGGAGGTGGAAAGATTGTAAGAGCCAGGGCTGGTTCATAAACACAGGGAGGTGGGGGCTTCTAGCCCACTGGAGGCTTGCTGGGTAAGTCTGTAGCGGCAGTGGCATCAATTGAGGGACCCATGTCAGTTCAATGAAACAATGAAACAAGGGCCCAAAGGGGAGGTGAAAAATAGGTGGCAGGCCAGCACTAGACTAAGAACAATTTGAGACTGATTGCTGCTGGGTAAGGAAGAGTACTTAACATGTATGGTGGACTACATAAGGACCAGTGGAGGGGAGGGAATGGAGAAGGGGATCTAAATTTTTTAAATTGAGCTTTTAAAATTTCATACATATCTCACTCAAATCCAGACCCCTTCCCCCATCCATGCCTCCCCCATTCCCCCACCGAACCTTGTGTACTCTGCCATACAAGCTGAGTCTATTCATTCAGGTGTTTGTACCCAAATGTCCTTCAGTATAATTTGTCCCCTGGAGTCTAGTCAGCACATCTAGAGAGCGTATGTAAGGCATACTCTTTCTCACCCAGTAGCAATCAGTCTCCAATAGTTCTCAGTCTAGTGCTGCCCACCACCCATTTCTCTCTTCCCCTCTGGGCCTTTGTTTATAGGCACAATTTAGTCACTAAGTGGCTGTATAATAATCTGAATTTTCTTTCCTCGTAAGTACCACTGGCAGGCCACAGTATTTTTGAACTGGACCATCTCTTCTTGGTTTTACCTAACCACATCTCACTTCACTTTCTAATCTCTTGTTCATGGCCGCTTGATAAAACACTGTGACCTCATTGTACCTACATATATGCCAGAAGTGTCTTGTGAGATTTT